GAATCATGCATCAAATTTTTTCAATCCAAACTACACTTAAACCCATTATGATCATATTATTCATCAGAATATTCACTTAACCTCAACATTCACTTTAAACAGCATAAATGTAGATTAAACGTTAAATGAGGCCTTCAAACAAAGCAGTAAAAATCTAATAGATGAGAGTAACCACGTACACTCACAGGTTTAAAATTATGCCCCTATCATATTTCCGTACGTATATCACATGATGGCCAAACACATTTAACATTTCATCAAGGTTGCAGTCTTGGAGCAAGAACAATATACATTTAAGTTTCAAAGCAGCTAAAACATCCAACTTCTTCGTTTTACACAAACTATAGCATGTTGCTAGGAATCATCTTCTTGATTCGTTAATTAATGCATGAATACTTCAAATTGATAATTTCATGAACTGTACAAAAAACAACTTAGACCTATATATGGCTCCAAGAGGTCTGTCCAACAAGAAGCAATACTAAGTAACCTGCAAGAATATAACAGTAGTAATGGCAAGAGGAAAATAAAATCACGAATTATTTGGCATGAGAAAGATATACGGAAATTGAGAAATAGATGCGAAAGAAACAAGAAACACAGATAAATTGTTTCTTCTTACCTCTCTGGCGCCTATCTACACTCTCTCATGCTTCAGTTTTCAGTCAATATTGCGAGGATAGTTTAGCGAAACAAGACTCTCCACGTAGAAACCCGCATCACTTACTTTAGGGAAATCATAAATGTTTATGCAATGCGAGCTTCCATCACTAAAGTTGTACATAACCAGCAGCTTCTTGTGCTGGCAAATCAACAGAACATAATCTTTCTTCCAGCAACCTGCATGTACTAACTGTTGGTATTTGACAGTTTACTAACTCAATACCAAAATATGTGGGTGATAAGTTTACAAACTCTATCACACCTCTTTCACTTTGCACTCTCAAATAAAATTGGACAAAGAAATAGAGAAAGGAGGGAAGCAACAAGCTTTGATAAAACACTTGGACTTTGATATATGAAAAGAGAGTTTACAAACTCTATAGCTTACAAGCTTAAAATGAGAATGAGAAATGGGATTTTGATGGGATGATTTACAATGCTTGAGAACTTGGGTATTTATAGCAAACCAAATGATTAAACTAAGATTATTTATTACCACACAAAACACATTAATTGCACCTAATAATTTTTATTCAACCATACCTAACATTGCCTAACTTTCAATGCCTAACTTTGACATTGATTTTCAACAATAGCAACTTGTTTTGATTTGAATTTCCAACACACCTCCTCAAATCAAAACGCCTTCATTCCTAGCATTTCACGCAGTAGCCGGAATGTTTCAATTGGCAATGGCTTTGTGAAGATGTCTGCCACTTGTTCCTTGGTGTGACAGTAGACAAGTTCAATTGTCTTTTGCTTCACATGGTCCCTTAGAAAATGGAACCTGGTATCAATGTGCTTGCTCCTTCCATGTTGAACAGGATTTTTTGCAAGTTTGATTGCAGACACGTTATCTACGTGAATCACAGTCGATTCCACTTGTGGATGACACACTGACTTCAACAGATTTCTTAACCAAATTGCCTCACACACGGTTGAGGCTACAGCAACATACTCGGCTTCACATGATGACAAAGCAACAATTGATTGCTTCTTTGAAGTCCATGAGAAAGCTGTTGATCCTAGAAAAAACACATAGCCAGTTGTGCTTTTCCTTTCATCTTGGTCACCTCCCCAATCACTATCTGAATAACCAAATAATTTTGCATCTTCACCAAAATTATAAAATAGACCATAGTTTAGAGTACCTCTTATGTACCTCAAAATTCTCTTGGCGGCCAGCCAATGAGACTCCCTTGGTGTTTCCATGTATCGACTCACGAGTCCAACACTATAAACTATATCAGGTCTTGTGATTGTAAGGTACCTTAGGCTTCCAACGAGGCTTTTGTACACTGTTGAGTTTACAAACTCACTCTCTCCTCCTTTGGACAGCTTCAATCCAGTTGCGACTGGGGTATTGACAGTGTTGCACTTGTCCATATTGAACTTCTTCAATATGTCTCTCATGTACCTTTGTTGAGAGATGTAGATACCATCACTTTCTTGCTTCACTTCTATGCCAAGAAAGTATGACATTAATCCATTGTCAGTCATCTCGAATTCACTGAACATGGATTGCTTGAACTCATGGAACATTGCCTCATTGTTTCCTGTAAACAATAAATCATCTACATAGAGACAAATAATTAAGAACTCCCCTTTTTCACCATTCTTCATGTAAACTGAATGCTCGTATGGACATTTCTGAAATCCATTTTGGTGAAGGTAGTTGTCGATCCTTGAGTTCCAAGCTCGTGGTGCTTGCTTGAGGCCGTACAAAGCCTTCTTCAAACGATACACCTTATCTTCTTCTCCTTGTACTTGGAAGCCTTCCGGTTGTTCCACGTACACTTCTTCCTCAAGTACTCCATTAAGGAAGGCTGACTTGACATCTAGTTGATAAATTTTCCATTTATGATGTGCGGCAAGAGAGATTAGCAATCTTACCGTGTCAAGTCTCGCAACTGGAGCATAGACTTCATCATAGTCCACTCCATACTTCTGTTTGTAGCCCTTTGCTACAAGCCTTGATTTGTATCGATCCACACTCCCATCTGCAGTGCGTTTGATCTTGTAAACCCACTTGACACCAATAGCCTTCTGATTTAGTGGGAGCTTTGTCAGCTCCCAAGTGTCATTCTTCTCGATGGCATGGATCTCTTCTTCCATGGCTTTCTTCCAACAATCTTCTTCCACAGCTTCATTGAATGAGAAAGGCTCGTGGTCTGCATACACGCAGAAAAGGTTGGTTTCTTCTTCTTCTTCTTGTCCATAAATCTCTGTGAGATTCCTTAACCTCACTGGAGTTGAGGAGCTGCTTTCCTCACTAGATGTAGGACCACTCCTTGCAATTCTGTGCACTGGAGTTGTTGTGATTGTTTGAGCAGGTTGTTGCTCAATCGGTGGTACAACTTCTGGTTCTTCAAAATCAGTGGAGACGATCTTCTCTTTACTGACTTCTTTGTTGTTCCACGTCCATGTCTCTTCCTCACTGAAGATGACATCTCTACTAACCACTAGTTTGCCAGTTAGTGGGTTGTAGAGCTTGTATGCCTTGGACTCTTCACTATAGCCCACAAACACACATTTCTCACCTCTATCATCAAGTTTCCTCCTCTTGGCTTCTGGAACTTGAGCATATGCAACACACCCAAAAATTCTTAGATGTGTAACATTCGGCTTGTATCCACTCCAAGCCTCTTGTGGTGTCATCCTCTTGACACTCTTTGTTGGACATCGATTCAACAAATAAATCGAACAAGCTACAGCTTCTGCCCATAACTCTTTTGGCAAATTCTTCTCCTTAAGCATGGACCTTGTCATGTCAAGGATGGTTCGATTCTTTCTTTCGGCTATCCCATTTTGCTGTGGGGTGTAGGCAGCAGTAAGTTGATGCCTAATTCCTTGCTCCTTGCAGTATGCTTGGAAAGCATTGGAGGTGTACTCTCCACCTCTATCTGATCTCACAGCCACAAGCTTGTGGTTACTTTCTGCCTCTGTGAGTGCCTTGAACTCCTTGAAAATTTTTAGGGTAGCTGACTTCTCCTTGAGAAAATAGACCCAAGTCTTTCTACTGAAATCATCAATGAAGGTAATAAAATACCTATTTCCTCCATAAGACATGGGATCCAATGGACCACATATATCTGTGTGCACCAACTGCAGTGGTGCCTTTGCTCTCCATGTATCACCAACAGGGAACGATAGTCGTGCTTGCTTGCCAAGCACACAACCTTCACATACTTGGCGTGTGGCTTCAATCTGGGGTAGACCACGAACCATTCCTCCACTTGACAGCAACTTTAGGCCATTGAAATTAAGATGGCCAAATCGAAGATGCCATTTCCATGACTCATCTTCCATTACACCGATGTTGCAGCTTCCAATCTTTGTGTTCAAATTCAACGGAAACATCCGGTTCTTTGACATTCGAACACGTGCAATAAGCTTTCTCCTTGCATTCCTGAGAGTGAGAAGCATGTTCTCCATATGTATAATGTACCCTTTCTGGAGCAGTTGACCAATGCTCAGAATGTTGCTCTTCATACCTGGTATGTAGTAGGTATCGGAGATGTATTCTTCTCTTCCATCCTTCTGGATGATCTTGATCTTCCCTTTGCCTTCAACTGGCAACTTTGAGGAGTCACCAAGGCTTACAGATCCATAGGCCCCTTCTTTGAGTTCGGCAAAAAACTCCTTCTTTCCACACATGTGATTGCTTGCACCAGAGTCCAAATACCAAACATCTTGTTGGCTACTGGAATCATGGTGTGCTAGTAAGACTGTAAGTTCTTCATCGGTATTTCCACTTGATTCTGCCATGTTGACATGCTCACCATTTTTATGTGAACATTCATTGGCATAATGTCCATATTGCTTACAGTTGTGACACTGGATATGCGCCTTTCCTCGAGTAGATCTCCACTCCTGAGACTGACCTTGATTTTGTGCATAGCCTCGACCTCTTCCTCGGGCTCGTCCTCGGCTACGGTTGGATGGGCTCCCACGACGTGAGTTCCACTGCCCACGACCTTTATTTGGTTTGTCAATATTCAACTTTGACTCCAAAGCTTGCTCTAGCGTTGTGGGGCTTGCATTCTTCTGAATGCGTTGCTCGTGAACTAGGAGGGATCCTAGTAGCTCTTCTGCGCTCATCACCTCCAAATCCTTGGATTCCTCAATGGCAGTCACCACATGCTCAAACTTAGATGTGAGTGACCGGAGTATCTTCTCCACAACTCGTACTTCATCGAGTCTCTCGCCATTTCTCCTCATCTGATTTACTATCACAATGAGCCTTGAGTGATAGTCGGAGATGCTCTCCCCTTCATTCATATGAGCAGTTTCAAAATCTGCTCGAAGTGATTGTAACCTCACTTTCTTGACTCGATCTACTCCTTTGTAGATTGTACTGAGTGTATCCCATACTTGTTTGCTCGTTGTTGCTTCTGCAACCTTCTCGAACGTTGAATCTTCCAAACCCTGGTATAGAAGATACAGCGCCTTTTGGTCCTTCTTTCGTAAGTCCTTGAGAGTGTTCCTTTGATCCGCAGTAGATACGGCTTCTTGCTCGGCAGTGGGTACAACATACCCACTACTGACAACTTCCCATAGCTCCTGTGATCCAAACAATGCTTTGAATTGGATGCACCATCTTTCATAATTTTCTTTCTTCAATGTGGGAACTTGGAGTTGCACTAAGTTGGACGCCATAACTGCTGCACCTGCCAGAATGGTATTCTGGCTCTGATACCAATTGTTGGTATTTGACAGTTTACTAACTCAATACCAAAATATGTGGGTGATAAGTTTACAAACTCTATCACACCTCTTTCACTTTGCACTCTCAAATAAAATTGGACAAAGAAATAGAGAAAGGAGGGAAGCAACAAGCTTTGATAAAACACTTGGACTTTGATATATGAAAAGAGAGTTTACAAACTCTATAGCTTACAAGCTTAAAATGAGAATGAGAAATGGGATTTTGATGGGATGATTTACAATGCTTGAGAACTTGGGTATTTATAGCAAACCAAATGATTAAACTAAGATTATTTATTACCACACAAAACACATTAATTGCACCTAATAATTTTTATTCAACCATACCTAACATTGCCTAACTTTCAATGCCTAACTTTGATATTGATTTTCAACAATAGCAACTTGTTTTGATTTGAATTTCCAACACTAACGAGAATGGGATGAAACAAGAGAACCTTTTTTCAGTCCAAGACTCCCTGACTCCATATTCCTTCATAACCCAAAAGTCAGTATATTGTTCATCTACATGAGAAGAAACCCAATCTGCTATGCACAGAAATTCCCCGAAGACACCCAGTTTATAGTGTAGTGGCTTATAAGAAGTAAATGGTACTGGAATTTCTCGAACCTCCTCCTCTGCTAAAAGGAAAGATATAATCACCCACGAGTCACCTTGGGCTATCTTCACCAACCAATGCACGCCTCCATTCAGCATGAAGCCAATAAAACAGAACATAGCTTTGTAGGGAAACCGCCTTTCAATCACTCGCCAAAAACCGGTTTTCAATGAATAGACAGCAAACTCGATCTCATCTTTCACGGACCACCCATTTACCACTTTGTAATCATCACTGGCATGATCAAAACCGAACCCGAAAAGACTTAGTGTGTTAAAAGATGGTGGCTTGGGCAGTTTCTTATATTCCCTTATTGCTGGGTTGACCAGATATAACTCTTGTCCATTTAACTTGAACAACACTAACCCATTGCAGTAAGAAATCAAGACCCAGAAATTCGGCAACGGCAACCCATCAGGACTGGACTGTTCAGGATGAACATAGTCCAGATTACTAACCACAACACTTTTACCGATATTCTCAGTAATACTTTCTCCATCATCCAGAAATCGACTGTCTTGATTGAGAAGTTCATCAAGGTTACAAGAGTAAATGGAATGACGTTTTTCATTAGTAAATACAAGTCTCCGTCTTTGGAACAAAATGTGCTTATTGTCAATTGTTCTGTTAAGCTGGATTTTAGCAAAGTTGGGATCGGAGATGAAGGAACGACATGGCTTAGATACACACCTGAATCGGCCTAATGATTTTGTTGGCAGCCATGAAAAAATCTCGCGTATCATCTCCCATGGAAGGTTAGGGTTCTCTTCCTTCATCATTCGCTCCGCGGTTTTCTTTGAGCTACAAAAGATGGTTTTTTGGTGAGTTACTAACTTCGGAATTCTTTCTTTGAAAATAAGAATATGAAGATGAAGTGAAGATGAGAACAAGAGCAATATATAAAGGAGAACAAGGGATTTGGCCGTAAGATACAGATGAAATAGCTAATTAAATATTAATGGAAGGCCGGCACTACAAAGCAAAGTAGACGTTGTCTCAAGGCAAACCAACTATAAGAACAAACCAACTGAAAGAAGACAAGAAACTGTCATAGTTCTGGTCAAACATTTGGGCACAAGTAATGAAATTGAAGTGGGCTGTAAAATTTATTTGCTGGTTTTAAAAGAAGAGTAATGCTAGAAGAGTACATTTCGGACCACATTTGCGTATTAAATGATGCATATAATCAATATTGAAATAAATTTAGTAATATGGTACACCGTTACAACCCATACCTTAAAATAGTATAATTTATTCTCGTGACATGGGAAATGACTATTTTACCCTCGAGTGGGTGACTAAATTAATTTATCTAGACTCAACTCAAGAATTATATCCTTGCACTTTCTTAAGGTTCATAAACTTTATTTTCGTATGTAAGTTTTGCCTCGAAATCGAATTATGAAACGAGACCCGAGGGTCTATTTGTAATTAAATTTAATTGGAGGACAAAACCGTAATTTCACTCAAAACAATTTTAAGTAGGGTTATACACACTCTCGATCTCGAGAGATTTTTCAGTGTGACCGTCACACGAGATGGTACACCACATGTCTTTATATAAATGGTGAGTTATGTGTGTTAAAAGGTTAATAACTTAAAAATTAAAAATTTCCACCACTTGCATAAAAACACATGGCGTATCATCCGTGTTCTAAAAATTTATACTAAGTCTCCTTCTTCTCCCTCTTCTCTCTCTTCTCCCTCATTTTCTGTAACCCCTTTATCTAAGCTCTTGACTCTCTCTATCTCTCTAAGCTCTGAGAAGGAAACCACCCCATTCCTCTCGATTTTAACCAAACCAACTCCCAAAAATCTAAACTATGAACCTTTGGGACATGGGGAACTCATCTGTGGCATTGCAAGTTGCATTGAGTGCAAGAATCCTATGTGGACTCAACTAGTTAGGATAACGGAGAAGTAATAAGTTGGTAATACAAATCAAATAGAGTTTGAATACGTGTAAAGCTACATCCTATAATTAAGGAATATACTTCCAATATGCGTTTGAAAATAAGCACTAATCACAATTGCTCCATACACGGTTGGGATTGGGTGCAACGGGTGAATAACCAACCCTCCATAATAGATGGAAGTTGGCTACCATTGCATCTATATAAAATGAATTCCTTGCTCACAGAGAAAGTGTTCTACGTTTAAGGGGTCTATCACCATTAGAATATAAAGGTCTCTAAGTGAGTAGAAGAGTTCTTTAACAACCACGATGGCTTCGACAGTTATGCTGCACAAATGTGTTCTCCTGAACCTACTGATATGGTACTACTATGGTTGCTTCAACAGGTTTGTCTTTGACCCTTATGTCTGATTGTGGTCTAGGGTTAATGTTAGAATAAGATTTGTTCCAATATTTGGTATCAGAGCCAACTTAACATGCCCTAGATCCATTGTATAATTATACTGTATGATTCTAACAGATAGACATTCCGCCTCCATATTCATGTACAACCATTTTCATATTTAAGATGGATTGATCAGTAGTAACATCAAAAGAATAGGATTTACCATAACGATCAACAAGATATATAGAATCTGCCTTCAAATTGAACATTATTTGGTCCCGTGGATGACAAGGTTGTCAAAACCCAAATAAATTTGGGAAGACATCAATGAATTTGTGGGCCTTCATAAGGATTTTTAATCATTGTCAATGGGTATCGAACTGTATCACTAATAAATCCATATCATTGGGGTTGTAGTGATAGCACAAAGGGTGTGTATATCCTTTGTAGTCAAACGCTATGACTCGCAAACAAGGATAAATTATTTTAGCGACTCCAATCTCTCCACAACTAAATTAATGCTTTCTAGGCAACGCAGCCCAATCTGGGTCTGTAGATTCCCTCGGTAATTGGGTATGGTAGGATAGGGGTTGCTCTTATGGTTTTATTTGACATGGTACTAAATTACTTTAGTTATTGCTGGGTTCTCATTTGTTGATAACTATATCACTTTGAGTTTTATCTTTTCTGCTCCTATACTAACAATTTGGTTTGCAGTAAATGTTAAGAACAATTAAGAGCATTGTTCGATTACAATAAAGGAAGAATATTTGTGGTTAAAACTCATGAAATGTTCACATTCTTTTCCAAAGAAGGGGATGTATAAATTGTTGGTATTTTTAATTAGTGTATGGCATCATACAGATGAGGCCATATTCTTGTCCAAGGACTTGTAATAATTGCATGATAAAATCCTTGAGTGATGGCTGTACAATGAAGGTCAATGGTAGTTTATATTTCTTGCCCAAAGGTGTGATATAAACATGCATTTACCAATCACTAATGGTTTTTTCAGGCTTTTCATATCTTTGACAGCCAAAAATTTTATTCACAACAGGAAAAGGAAAGACAAAGGCTCTTCTTGATGTGTGTAGAGGTCGCGTACATCTGAGCGCACCAGATGATGCCACACCCGCTTCAGCATTCGCTCCATCTCCCATTCTCAATCTCCAGACTGTTGGTATTTGAGTTTACAAACTAATACCAAATATGTGGGTGATACTTTATTTGATTTGTTATTATTGTCACTGATAGCATTAATTAGTGAGCCATAGATTTTGATATATTTGTGAGTCATTTAATTTGATTGGCATCTGAATTTTAATGGAATCAACCTATCACTGTTTTGGTTTAATCTGATACAAAACCCCTTAGTTTTCTTGTTATCAAGTTATCAATTGCTCAAAAATTGTGTGCGCGAGTAATTTAAAGGAACATAGAAATACTTGATATCAGATTGCAGTGCATGTAGTTGATTCATATATGGGAGTAAGAACCATCCATGTTATTTCTATATATGATCGGTGCCCGACAAAACCCTTACAAAGTAGTCAGGTTGCCTTCGGTTTTGAATGCCATTCTTGGAAAGAATCAGAAATTATGCTTAATTTCTTTTTACCTGTTTTGTTGATCTTACCATGAAATAAAGCATTACGTTTATAAGCGATGGGTTTTCACTTTTCATGTGTGTCGTGTGTCTTCAATTATCGGTTGCCCAATGCCTAGTACTTAATCAAGGATTGTAATGGGTCGTTGATATGACCTTTATTTTGTTAAAGTTGTGGAATATTGCTATCCCAATCAATCCAAGATTGTTAATTATGTTATAAGGTACACAATCCAACTTAAAAGAACCACCTATGTGGTTTAATAAACAAAAGACAAGTTGAATACCTTGTAAAACACATGGAGGAGCTTTGCCCTTTGAAATGCCACTGATCCTTAAATCAAATCGGGTGGTGAAGAAACATTGTATGTGCAGTAGTATTGTTTGAGATTTTCTAGTGATTGGATTTGAGTAATTTTGAACTTGAACTTTGGTGACTTTGATTTACCTTATATTTGATTTCCTACTTTTGTTGTTACAAAATGGTGTTTATCATTTAGTTTGAGTCCAAGTGATATAAGTCTTGGCAATCATCTTTCTCAAAAGTAAAGCTACTGTGAACGATATTTTCTCTTACAGCTGTATAAGAGTCTACCTTAACACCAAAGTTAGGGGTCCCTAGCAAAATTATAACTTTTTCTAGGCTTGTAGACTCTGAATACATTGATGAGTGGTGGTGTCACAACAGAGGGAACCATTGTAAGATGTCAATGGTCTTTGTTTCTTTCATCTGATTATAATTGTTTGCGATTATAATTGTTCACATTAATGCTTTTCTTGACAAGTCTTATTCAGGAATGATGCCAATAGAAAATAACTAAGGGTGTAACATTTGGAACAAATATTCATGTTACCTTAACCATGGACAAATGTTGATTAAATCTTCACCTAAGTGAGATTTTATGGAAATTTTGGTCTAGGTGCTATTATCTGTTTGGCAGCATATAGGATGGTAGAAGGGGTTACATTGCATGCTTATGCCAAAACCATTCAGGAAGGGAGGAAGCTAATTGGTGCTCTAGGCCATCAAAAATGGTATCTTCAATTTTCTCCTTCAATCAACATGTTTATGTGTCTATAAGTGTATGAACAAGCATATACATATATATATATATATATATATATATGTATGAACAAATCATGTAGTTAACTGGGTTCTCTTCAATTTCATTGATTTGTGATTTTTTAAGTTGCAGTATAAATATTATGGGTTATTTGCAAATTCTAGTTTAAAACTTTTGATATATTTGAGTGAATGCTGAGGAGGTTTTTGGATATAGATGCAAGAATTTGTCAAAGTCTTAGATGAGGTGCATTTTACGTGTGAGTTAATTGGCATCTAATCCAAAGGTAAATGAAAACGTGTGGATGAAAATTCATGATTTATGACGAGAAAATGATATATGTATGTGTGTGTGTGTGTGTATTAAAAAAAAAGGGGTGAGGTTAAGTGGAATTTCCTCGAAAATAATGTTCTGTTTATATTTAGGTAACTGAACTTGAATTGAGTTTAAAATGAGAAATATATGAATGGTTTGAGATGTTTCAAGAATGTTATTTTATTTTTTAAGAGAATTAAGTTGACTGTTTTCTTGTCCAAAGACTTGAAGTCTTGGTTGTTTTTGTAATCTCTAACATGACTGTTATACAATAAGGTTATACAATCCATTATCAAATGGTGGTTGTTTATGTTTCTTACCCAAAGGTGTAACATAAACATGCATGAATGATGGACATGAAAGACTTGTCTGTGAAAGAAGAAATGAGAAAAGGGTCGGTGTTGATTGAGCATGTTGATAAGAAACTGATGTTAGTTGATCCATTGACAAAACGACTGATTTTGGGAATTTTCAAGGAACATGTTGCAAAC